AACATATTGGCCTGAAGCAATGTAAGCTGATCTTCTCCAGGGCTGAGGGCTCACAGCCAAATGAGTTCTTGAGGAGGAAGACCAAGGGATCAGCAGGGCTGAACTGCTTCTCCAGGCTCGGGGGAGGAACTCCCTCACTGTTCCAGGCTCACAGGCTGTAGGCTGTCCTTGGTGTGTAGTTGCAGCCACTTGCCACACTGGTATCACCCAGCCTGGTTCTCCTTCCTGCTGCCTCAGTCTGAGGCTCCCGATTCCCTCTTAGAAGCCACCTGGGTATTTAGCTCTCTCACCACCTCAACAGCCTTGTAATGGAGTTGTGTCTGCGTTTGCAGTCTTCATGACTGTAGGATTCATTGTCTGGTTCCAAGGCTTGTTGTGATACAGGCTTTGTTTTTGTTTTTGAAGCTCCGGGCGTAGAACCCCATGGTCTTGTGCATGCTAAGCCAGTACTGAACTATATCCTCAGACTCCAACTCTCAGATTTCTCCACCTTAGCCCTCAACCCTCCTCCCCTTTGTGTTCAGTGATAGGGACCGAACCCAAAGGCCTTGCACATACTCACAACTGCTCAACTACTGAGTTCTGTGCCAGGTTAGGGCCCCCTTGAGCTATTATCTAACCTACTACAGAGTTCTAGGGACACAGAAGTGACTGTTCGGGAGCACATTTCAGGGAGTACTGCTCTGGCTGCTAAGCCAGGCCTTTCTGGTTTTCCACTTGGACTCACATTGTGGGTCCTAAAGTCATTGCATGGAGTCTGTCTCCACACAATATCCTTGTGAATTTGACTCCACCCAACCATATCTATGTAAGGGGCTCCCCAGCCTGAGCTGCAGGGCTCCATCTGCTGCAGCATGGCCCTCAGGGCTTGTCGAGTGAGTAGATGGGTGAGCAAGCCTCTTCTCCTGCCCCACCCCTGTGTGGAAGATGCTTTCTAAGTCTCAGAGGGTCCTGATTGCATGCTGGTCCTTCTAAGCCTCCAGGCCTGAAGTAGGAAACTCTTCCTGCAAGGGATGAGGACATCCTACAGAGATGCTGAGGACATGAAGTGTATGGGTATCACCCGAGAGTACTGGATACTTGGCTAGCCCTTCCCAGAAGTCATTGTCATTGAACCTAGGGACCAGAAACCTCATAGCTACCTCAATGACTTCCCTAGTCCCAGTCCTTGAAACCACCTTCCTGGAGTACAATAGAACCCTGCACCCCAATCTACCCTCTACTTCCTACAATAGAGCCCTGAACCCCAATCTACCTTCTACTTCCTAAGTTGTGCCTTCTAAACAGCATTTCTACCCCCTGGTCACAGCCACCCACCCTCAGCCAGGCCTGCGGCATCCACAAATTGCAAAGCCAATTACTGTTCAATTGCTCTAGTCCTAGCCAGACAGAGGTTACTGTAAGTCGCATTGGAATTGGGAAGGAGGGAGGGTGAGCCAGCACCTGAGGACAGTGCCTGGGCTTGACACTTGAAGATGGATGTGACAGGGACCTGTGGCTTGGAGGCTCAGGATTAGATCAACAAGGCTGGGGCTGGCTGGTTCCAGGAAAAAGGTCATGTGGACACGGTTTGACAGACAGCTCAAGCAAAGCCAAGGTTTCAGCCTGGCCTTTCCTGAGCAGAGGAGGCACCAGGGCTGATAGCTCAGTCCAGAGATGGGAAGCCTGAAGTCCTTGGTCTCTCTTGGGCTCTGGCATTCTGCCGGGAGCTCCCAGAGGCCAGTGCCATTGTGTCCAAGAACTAAACAACTGCAGCTCCAGTGGTCTTATAGGGCATGCCCGGCTCAGATGTCCTTTAAGCGGGCATTCAAGGTTTCTCTCTCTCCTGCTTGTCTAGGCCCAATGATCAGCTACCTATAGTTAAATTGGGGTACCCAACTTAGGACCAGATAGTTCTGGGGCCCACAGTCTCCTGCTGATCAGGGTCTGATAGGTGAAGAGCAGAGATTGCCACCTTAAGGAGTCCCCCACAACTCTTGTCTTAGGAAGCAGCCATCTCTGGGGTACAGAGGAATAAATGGAGAGAAATGGACAGCTGGAGATTCCTGGCCAGGGGGGTGGGGACTAGCACTAAAATCCTGGGTGTTCTCAGTGGGCTTAAGGGAATAGCAGCCAGGCTCCTTCCAGACACATGGACAAGTGCACCTCCGGTGTACACTGACTCTTTGCTCACTGCAGCCCACAGCTCTGAGCTAGAGAGTCTGTGGAGCCTGAGCTGCCCACCGCCCACGCAGGGATCTGTACCTTCCACATCCCTGGCTGCGCCTTGCCTGCAGCCGCTGTCAGTTGAGTGTCCTTGCACGATCTGCCTCCCAGTCCCCACATTCTGCAGCCTCCTCTGGGACCCCTGCATGGCCAATGGTCGCAGCTCCAGATTGGGGCATGGGTGGGGGGAGCAGAATGTGGAAGGGTGAGTCATCACCATGGGAGCAGACTCCTGAGATCCACATTCACACTTGCAGAGCGGCAGACACAAAGGCATGACACAAAGGCATGCCCACCCTCCCATTCCCAAACTCATAGGGAAACATGCTGAGAAGCAAACGCTGGTCAAAACCACAGATACACACTGAGACCCACAGAGACAGACACCCGCCTCCCCACACACACCCACAGTCCTTAGACACAGATGCCAAAACACAGGGGCAAATCAAGACCCATACAGATATATCTTAGCCAGGGTGAACCCTAGTCATCACCCAAGAGCCCACTCTCGTGTACAGAGAGACACAAATACACATGACAATAGACTAAATACCCTAGACACACCCTAATAATCTTTTTGTGAATACAGAAGCTCTAACACGCATGCACACACACACACACACACACACACACACACACACACACACACACACACGTACACACACATCATCCCTCTTCTTGGAAGTCCTTCATCCAATCCCTGCCTCAAGCAGCAGACAGGATAGTTTTAGAATCTAGAGATTGCAGGGCAGTGGTGGCACACATCTTTAATCCCAACACTCCCGGAGGCAGACACAGGCAAATCTCGGTGAGTTCGACGCCATCCTGGTCTACAGAGTGAGTTCCAGGACAGCCAGGGCCACACAGGGAAACCCTGTCTTGAAAAATTGAAAAAAAAAAAAATCCTAGGTCCACCATTTTGCATACAAACGCCACAGCTGCTCAAGGACAAAGTTCTGCGTCAGGTCCATTCTTTGGAAGCAGAGGTCCCAGACCGGCAAGTGCTACCCCCAGCCCTCTGCTCACAGACTCCCAGCACCTAGGAAGAGGGTTCTGGCTACAAAGGGAAGAGGTGGAACACTCCCAGGAAGGGAGGGATGTGTGAGAAAAGAGACTTACTTGCTTGGAAGGTCCTGTCCTGAGTCAGGAGGTGGACAAGGCGACTATCTGAAAGCCCGGAAGGTCTCCCTCCACCCGCCTACGATTCCCAGGAGACCCAACCTGCAGTCATTTGCACCTGCTGCTGTCTACCTTAAAGATCCCCTCCTCCCATACTCTACCTTAGCCTCTAGGCTACTTTGTCATTCTTCAAGTTTCTGAGCAGGTATTGCTGCTCTTGGAAGCCCTGGGTGAGCCCTTCAGACCCCTGGGACCTCTCCCAGCTTTGTAGGCGCTATAGGGAAATGCCTTACTCCCAAAGGCTAGAAGATCCTTTGCATGGCCCGGAGCCTTGGGAGTGGGAGTGCTGGTAAACTGAATGGAACGCAGGTTCGAATCCCAGCGCTGCCTCTGACCTTGGGCAGAGCCCAGAGCTGTGTGCATCCAAGGTCTTATCTGTAAAATGGGGACAATAACAACTACCTCACCAGGCTGACGTGGGGATTAAGTGAGGTCATGCATCGGGTAGCCTGTGGAAATGGCTGTCGTATTATAAGTTCTTTGCTTGTCACAGAGCTTGGTAAATATTTATTGAATTAATGAACGCCTCCAGCTTCCCCTCTTCTGCCTCCACCTCACATCCTTGCTTTAGGAGGGGGAAGTAGATGCGAACAAGGATTTGGGCAGAGAGACCCAGGAGAGATCGGGGCTTTCTGACGTATCTGGACACTAGCTGCTCCAGCGTGTCCTGAGCTTGCCTGGAGGCGCCACCGGCATCCTCTCACCTCCGTGACATCCACTTGTGCAACCATCCACACTGGCCAGGTGAGGCAGCGAGCAGAGGTGGGGTCCATCCCTGCAGTGTGTCCCCGACGCCGCCCCCACCGCCCACACCCTAAGGTGCGCGCTGAAGGCAGGGTGGCGGGAGCGTGAGTGTCGAAAGGGTGCTCACGGAATGAATGAGCCAGTGGACGCGTGAATGGAGGTGGATGGAAGATTGAAGTACAAGGCGGGGCTCGAGCTGGACGCCCTCGAGCGCA